ATTGGGATGAAATTACCACAGTCCAACTATAGCTGTTACTGACATTATCGTTACCTCAAAGCGGAACAGTGGAAAAAGAGACAAATTCAGCTCTGGCTGGTCGGGGTTACAGAGTCAAGCGGTAACCCCAACAGGTCTTATGTATGATTACGTCATTCATCCTCAGCGGCGTTTGCGCGAAATTTGCTCGAACTTCCTACACTTTCAAGTGAGTTTTGCGAGGTTATCCATTACATCTTTGCTGTTTTGGGAATTTGTTCTCGACAAAATTTACAATCTCTGTCGGCTTGGTAATGAATTCAGCTAGTCTGATGTCAACATGCATACGGGTACTCACTCGCCAAGATACTCCTAAGTAATCGGAACTATAATTCTTTGGAGTGAAAAGTTCATAGTCGTGGTACACACCGAAAGCAAAAGAAAAGAAAGAAAACTTAACAGGTGATTTTTGAGTTTCTTGAGTTGTAATGTTTACATGGCGAACTGGTCGTTAAGAGGCGAGGTGTGAGATAGAGACGGAGGAAGTTCCGCTCTCTCTCCACCCCAACCCCCACCCCCGCTTCGAGGCCTTGGAATTCCTGAGAAGTCAGGATAAATTATAGTTTGTCTTTTCTTTGCTATGATTAGCAATAACAGATACTTCCATTGCAATTCTTATTTGACTCAACTACCTACTTGTTAAGAGGACCAGCACAGGGTTAACCGTTAGAGCAGAAAAAATGTCAATTGGCAGAATGTCTCGATCGATCTCAACATTGTTTCTGACATATTGTCAACGATTAAAAAATAATCCAAAGTTTAAGAGATGGGGTAATCTCAATATCCAGTACAGTTAGTAACATTTGTAAGTCTCTCTCACCCTACTTTTTACGCTCTTATTGCACGCCTTTTGTGAAAGGTCAAGTGAAAAGATGAATCAGCCAAAGAACTACACCGATATTAGGGAATAACCATTTGATTGAAATACCTAAAGATCTAGAAATCGACCAAGCAGAAGAGAACTTAAGACAACCGATGTTCAACTACTGAGTATCCAGAACTTCTCACCAAATGATTCATTTCCAACACTCTAAGAGGAAATTGAGCCGGCCATGTATTAAAGTCATAGACAGTTCCGACAGCGCACTGGTTGGTATGTTCTACGTGGGCTGTCTCCCTACCCATCGGACGACTGATTTAAATTGATGAAAAAAATAATGATTAGAGAATGACAAAGTCAAGTCACTAACGAGTACGAGACACTGCAAGCAGAATTCTTTGTTTCATTTTTTTCCCATTCAAAGAATAATTTGCAAAGTCTTCTTCGTTGCCCGCACAATGAACCTCTGAATTGCGAAACTGGCCGACCTTTCAAGAGTCACAAAGAAAAACAGATTAGAAATGTAAAAACTGCTCGAACTTGACATCCTGCGAGTGGATTGACTGTGACCATTCTAGATCTTCCGTTGTTGACAGGCAATTATCACGTTGACGTTAGACATTCTGTAGACAGTAATACGGCACGAGTACAACGTTGTTAATTTGTTTATTCATTCCTTCGTAAATTTTGCATGTTAAACTTTTGTAGTAGCATTTTTTTTAGACGTTCGGGGGTCGTTTATTCTTCCTTCCAAAGTAACAAGATTCAACATTCTGTCAATCACCCGCTGTTAGAGTTCTTCTGATCGATGTCCTCAGGGTCAACTTCGTTAGTTGGTCTTGTCATGTAAAACGGTTGGCGCGAACGGAATCCGACTGCATGTTAGGGTTTGGTTTCATGTTCCTGATAAACAGCATATCGCAGATCGGACATTCCAGCTGTGTGTGACTTTTCTTTTGAACTATAATCTGGTCTTTGCATGCAGCTTGAGGTCTTCTAGCTTCTTCTTCCAGGTGTTTACCTATTACAGAATTAATGGTATTTAAAAATTCTTAAAAATTAGTGATTGATTGACCTCGGGGATACCTTCTTTAGTCCGGAAGGCATGTTTAAGTTTGTCTCGGGTGTCAAAGTTGTGACACGCATGCAAGGATTTTAACATGTAGGAACACACAGTCCGGAAGGGGACATGGTGGGTTCTGAACACCGCAACACCGCAAAAAAAATTAAAAAAATAAAATAAAATAAAAATAACGAACACCGCCTCTGCGCAAGAAAAGTCAACGAAACACCGTCACCGCAACGCGTTTCCAGAATTTCCAGGATTGTTTCTGTCCTCCCTCGTGTCTACCGAACACTGAGCTCCGGGTGGCAGAGGTCGAGTTACTTGTCAAGTTACGTATAAATGAAAACAGCTTCGGATTGATATAGTACACCTTCAAAAAATCATTCTACGTTGTATCGGTTTTTGCTTTTGTATTCTTCATTTTTTATGTAAAGCCGATTAGATCACTATTGATCCAACGTATACCAGCAGGATCATCGTTCCGGTTGCTTTCTTAAAAATTTTATAGTCATTTCGGATTGGCAGCCGAAGCATATTGAAGATTGACTAGAAAGTGATGGTCTGTATTTTGTTACAAATTGTTAAGCTCAATGGTACGTAATTGTCATAAATTAGCTTGGATTAACGAAGTTTACATGCTAAATTTAGGTCAAATTTAGGTTTGAGAAAGGTGAATAAAAAAAACCAGCACCGCAAGCAATTTCATTTCACCGAACACCGCAGCGTGAAAAACACAAACATCGAAAAACACCGGACACCGCAAGTTGAGATCTTATTCACCGCATCACCGCATTAAAAAAAACATCAACACCGCAACACCGCAAATCCCCATGTCCCCCTCAGTCCGTGTTCCTGATTCACTCTGGCCACGTGCTGCAACCCCTGCGGCTTCTAATTGACAAAATGCTCAGAATGACAGAAGACTATTCTTCACAATATTTCAGTATACCTCACAAGAAAAAGTAATTAGCTTTATGTGGATAGTTTACTCATCTACCCCAATATCTCAACAGTTTCATAGGAAATCCTTTGGGTTCTTTTGAGTTTGGCCATCAGCGAAAAGGGGGAAAACATGAAAAAACATCAGGACTGGGGCATTAAATCTTCTCTCTTGGCCTGAAAGAAACATTGTTGCGTTCAAGGAGAATTCTAGAAAAAAGGAGCACCACGTGGGCAATTAAAAAGAAATCGTAAATGAGCTTTTGGCGAAGATGTTCATTTGATTGTCACGTTGGTGTTTTCCGGCATTAGTGATTAATGTTTATGTCAATATAAAGGGGCTACCACGAAGGTTCTGGAATGAATTGTAAGTATTAAAAGAGTTCCTTGCTAGCGGAGCATGAAACACTTCTTCTAAATAGTTGTTTATTTTCTTATATCTTGATTTTAGCCCCTATGATGCTTGCTATCAATACATTTTAGAGTTTTCTACGGTCTTACTCGAGCGGATCTACAAAAAGAGGATTTCCACAAACCGCCAAGTTCAAGAACCAACTGAGGAGCACAAATTGGAAATATTTAAATCTGCTTGTCTTCAGAAATGCGATTTGGAGTTTTGTTAAGACCTTTGTACCTCCTGTGGTTCTAAGCACTCACCCACACAATTGGTTGACTGGCAAGCAACTTGAAACCAAGAGCAGACTATTAAAATTTCAGACAAGGTAAAAAAAAAAAAACAAAAAAAACTTGAAACCAAGAGAAGACTATTAAAATTTCGGACAAGGTAAGCCGATACCTCCTGGGTTGCTAAGCTACCCGCACACTTGAAAGTTGAAAGATGTTTACAGATGAAAGGGATATTATGAGCTTATGACTCTCGAGATAACTACGCTGTAGTGTGTTAGATGTTCACATGAATAAACGAAAACGTTTTCTTCAATTTTTAAACAGACTTAGGTGATCTGAGCTGAAAATTCAAAGCGACTGTGAACTGAATGTCGGAACACGGTAACATCGCTCTTAATAACGCTGAGTTCGCTAAATTAAACAAGTTACTTCATGGAAGGTGCATCTTGAAAAAATTGACCCCTTTCTTCAAGTTTGTCGTTCGTAACCCGTCTTGTTTTTCTCCGTCTTTGCCATCTTTTAAGTCGTCAATTATAGAGTAATCAGTAAAAGATTCAATATCGTGACCTTACTGCTTTAAGCTGCTGTGCAAAACTAACTCCAGATCAAACCATAGGTATCAGGAAAAACGTGTGTTGCCTTAGTTGTGTGATGATGCATGGACGTGAATAGGAGTTAAGCAATACTGAGTACAAGCCCAACGGGGATATGCTCCCAGAAAAATTGGGTGGGTGCTCAGCGAGCTTCTTGAAACCTACAGCCTATTTCAGACCAAAATTTAAGATTTTCTCTACTCTAGTTCAGACGCAACCCAAAATTCGATGCCCTGTTTCTGACCTGAGAGATCCGGAAGAGTGTGTCGAGCGCGTGCCTGGAGCGCGTGACAAGCCGCTCGACACGTACACAGTTGGCGCACTAAGTTGAGGAGGGCTTTAAGGTCTCAATGATGATGGTCTTAATTATACTGATAAAGAGGTAGCCTCGCCCAAAACATAGCCAATTCAAGACCAGAGTACACAAACCACACCTTATTTTAGACCAAATTGGCTCGAACACCATGCTATGTGGCGCCGCAAATACCTATATACTGATATAAGGAAGTACCAAACCCGGACAAAAAAAGAGAACGCGGCTGCTGATGTTGTAAATGAGACCATTGCGTAGGCTCACTTCCATGTTTGTTAGCCCACAACCACTCGTCTTTCTTTTTAATATCATCAGGCTCATATCTCATTTGCATCTTACCGAAAATCCGCGCAGGCGGAATTTCAAGAAAAATAAGTTATTTTTGGCCTTTTGCGGCATTGTGTAAGCAGGAATTAGGAACTTTCTAGCAGAATATATACCAACAAATCATTAAGCTAGATAAACAAGGATGAAATAGAGTTATCCAAACACAAAATGTTGCGCGGCCCTTCCCCCCCCCCCCCCTTTTTTTTTGTTTCTTGTTTTTGTCCATATAATAAAAAGAAAATTACACAGTGGGTCAATGTTAGAAATCGAAGAAATTGTTTCCTTGTACCAAAAACCAGGCTCGGTTCCGAATCGTACAAGTTAAACCCCTGGGCAACACACACTCACACAAAAATCAATCTGCAAAATTAAGCTCCCGCAAAAACTTTTTCCATATGGTGAAAACCGACAGGTCAGGATAAGAAAACATAATATAAGCCGAAGAGGTGTTCTCTTTCCACCACTGAAAACTCCAAACTACCCTACATTCCTGGGGCCCCGACAATTATGCCATCACAATTGCAGCAAACTTTTACATAGGACAAGTACGTTCCTTGCTATTTTTCAAAACAGGCAAGCTGCATGCAAACTGACAGAAGATAGAATAAAAGCGCTTTCATAAACACTTCCGGTGCAATGCGTGGTAGTTTTCAAATTAACGCCCACAGCCTTAACCCTGTATATATGCATGCGAAGCTGAGAGATTTTGCTTTTTGCGGCTAGACTGGGATGGACGGTGTAATGAATCAACACCAGCTTTGTTTAGTGAAATGCGTTTTGTTTTCTTTGCCACTTCTCATGATCCAAGGTATGTCTTAAAATTGAGTTACTCTGTTCTGTCTGTTATAATGGCACGTATTTTTTCATTCCACCAGGATCAATTTAGTCATAATTTAACTCTCTTAACGTCAAGAGTCGCGAATCAAGTAAGATATCTTTGAACTGAAGGCATTTTTTGTCGTTTGAATATCGGAGGCTTCATGGGCAGGTTAACATCGCTATTCTCAAAGATCGCCCTATCTGTCGCTTATCACTTATTAATATTTTGACTTTTTGAAACCTCCGTGTCATTGTGCACGTAATATTAGAAGTATTTGGTGTGACGGCCTTGAATTTAAGAGGTATCTATTGCGAGGAATTTTGAAAATCAAGGCTGGTCCTGAATTGTAAAGGAGCATGGAATATTTCAATTTTTTGCTATGAATAATGAATACGTCTACATACACATGAACACTAGGGGAGCAGGGATGGTGCTCGTCACGCGTTCCTTCCCCACCAACTGTCCCGGGTTCAATTCCCGGACGAGAGGTTTTTCTCCGGATACTCAGGTTTTCCCCTCTCCTCAAAATCCAACATTTCCAAATTCTAATTCGTTCCTGGAATGCACGGGCATTTCTGAACGAGTTCTTGTGAACTCCTTTGTGCTCCGTGGGTAAACAAATTACACACATACATTACATGAACAATTGATCCAAAACATTTCGATTATTTGCGCGTGGTTACAAAAATGAAAAGTTATGGATGTTTTAAGCTTTATTATTAGTATCGTCATCACTTCAGTTCAGAAATGACACATCTGTTTTTCTCGACATGCTATTGCGAAATTTATATCGGCTGATTTGTAAATCGGGCTCTAAATAGGGCTAAACCATCTTATCAGTCCTATTATGCTGTGACGTCAATCATTTGTCAGACTACAAGGGACTACTACATGCAGTTTTGAGCACTTTAAACAGCTTGGATTTGATGGCAGCCTTCACAAAAGAGCTAACTTGTTAAAGGATTTTGACGCTGTCGACAATTCTCGTTTGGGTCAGTTTTTACGAAAATTAGCGTCTGATGCTAGTCTAAACCACTTATGGCAAAACAATTGTGATATTCCTTTCCATGAAATGCAATTCTGATGAAGTATGAACTAAGCAATATGCGACAGGGGCAAAACATATGTTGTCTTTTAGATCGGCCGGAGTTTCTCGTGATATTTTATTGACTGGCATGAGCAATAACTATCAAATTATCGAATTACCTTCCTAAAATCGAGAAAACCTATCCTGATTTAGCTTTGGTTGAAAATGCGATAACCCACTTCATAGTGCTTTTAAACGTTTTACACGTTTCTAATACATGACCATAGCTAACCAGTAGTCATCATCCATTTACGTAGTTTGAGACAGGCATCAAATTGTCTTCTAAATAACTTTCCAAATTCGAGCGCGCATGTCCTTCACGAGACTTTCAGAATGAATGCCTTATTTCAGAGCAAAACGACGCACCTCAAAGTAATTTTAATAGCGTTAGCGCTGCACCTACCTATCTAGCTTATATTACGCTTTTAGCTCATATAAGGAATATGTCCGTGCTAATAAACTGCCTTTGGTTTCTACAAAGTTTTGACTGGTGTAAGTTGAAAGCAAATAAAACTGGGATGAATAAACACAACATTACAATCATATCAGAAAGTCATATCTCGAAAGATATTTTGAACATGAATGCGCACGTTCAGTGCATTCTTCAAGGAAAGAAGTACGAAGGGTTTTATTGCATGCACGTGTTCAGTTACAATGGGTTCCTCCCAACGTAACTTTTAACATCAAACGGGGCGTTTGGTAATTTTTTATCGAAAATGTTACAAGATCTCAAACTCAAGTACAACTTCCTTATTGTTAGCATAAAAATCTTAACTTGACTTTGCGAAAATTAGAGCCCAGTCCTCACTTGCGACGGAAGCATAAGCAAAAGAAGCTTTTGCGTTAGTGAGGACGGCCGCGACAAAAGCATAAGCATAAGCGTTCTTCTTTTGCTTATGCTTATGCTTGCTTATGTCGGTATTATGTTCAGTAAGGAAATGGTTAGCATGAGTATAAAGTGCTAGCTGATTGGCTGAAAGTCTTTCGCTTATGTTTATGCTTATGCCCTACTGGACATAACAGCGACATAAAGACTTGTGTTGATGCTTATTTCCGGCCGTCTCCGCCCGCGCATAAGTTTCTTTTACACTTGCACTTATGCTTATGTTTGCGTCGATAGTGAGGACCGGGCTATAATTGCTGTTTTGCTTTTGCTAAACTTTTTTGTTGTTTCGAGGAACTGTCTGAAAGCAATATTTTCTAATTAATCGTAACCGAGTTTTTCCTCATAAAGGAGTTCATTTGTCCCAATTCGACATACCTTACCCATCGTGACTTTTCTCATCAAACAGGTGCCCCAACGTTGATTGATAGGGGAAGTCATGAACCACAAACAGGTTAGAATCTCTCGAAGCCAATTTAAAAAACAAACAAACAAGAGGTTTTACCCACTTCGTTTGCCACTTATATTTGCCATGCTAGCGACAGTATCACGCAGTCTTCCAAACCTGGCTCTGAGCAAAGTTGATGGTATGCCAAGACTGAGTTTATATCACGTGCCCATCAGTAACCCACAATGCCTTTGTTGGATCCCAAGATGCATGCTGATATGCAGATTGTAGTCCCGTTATATCCTGTGACAAAAACGAAACCCAAAGAGATGGCACATTGCAAGTTTGTGTAAAAAGGAAAAGCCATTATCAGGAAAACAATGTTATAATCAAATTGAGCAATCATTTCGTGAGTCTGTTGGCATAATCCGACCAAATTACATGAGCGCTCAGTTGTTACAGCTGGTACAAACATTGAAAAGATGTAAGTGAAATCGAAAGAAGATATCGCGACCTACTCGATATAAGCAACACCGTATTCTACTTAATATATTTTTTCATATTCAGTCAAAGGTTTACTCAATGACTTATCCATATCTTATCACTTAGGTTCCCTGGAAATAAAATGGGGCACGAGTTCACCGAATAAAATATTTGAAGGCAAACTAATGAACCTGGGATGCCATTTCTCGGGATGGCCTCTCCCTCACGAGGTCCATTGGTACAAGGATGGAGAACTAATCACAAACGGAACAGAAGGTATTTATCACTCAGAGGACGAGAAAGAGCAGAATGGAGAGACAACTCTCCGGAGCACACTTCATCTTCCGTCGGGACATGAGGAGCAGGAAGGATTCTACAATTGCAGTGCAAGCAACAGTATTCGAAGCACCTCTTATGAGATACAGATGATATATCAATGTAACTAAAACTATTTATTTCTTGCAAAGTTAACAATGTTTCTCGTCAATAACAATCTCGCTATTATCTCCTGACTGGGTCTCTGAAGGAGCAGCATAAATTTTCAAATTTTGTAATTCAAGTACGCCGATAGCCTCGAAGCCTGAACTTCCAACTAAAGGTGACCAAATGATAGGAAGGGACAATGAAATAGTGTTTAATAAAGATTTATTTTCATTCAAGATAAAGCATAGAAATGCATCAAAAAGCTTAAGAGCAGCTTGCTCTAACGGTCACCTATACCTATGCAGGATAGAAAAATTCGCTTTTCTCAAACTTTGTCAGGAAGAAGCTTCTTATTAACTTATT